ACAACATTCTTATCTCTGTTTGGTACACAGTCGACAAGCTTTATGGCCTCATCCACTTGAAATCTATATTAATTAGTATGTACCCGATTTCCGTCTATTTTCTGATTTTTATTAGTAAAATAGATGACATAAAATTTCACAACGGCGTTCATATGAGTACACGCTAACAAAATACATTTTATTGACTGTGGATATATATATATATATATATATATATATATATATATATATATATATATATATATATATATATATATATATATATAATGTATTTTGTTAGCGTGTACTCATATGAATGTCGTTCTGCAATTTTATATGTTATTTATTTTAATAATAAAAACCAGACAATATATGAAAATCCGCTACAAACTAATTAATATGAATGTTATGACATTATCGAGTTGAACTCTATATTAATGGTGTTTATTAGTAAAATAGTTGACCTAAATTTTCACGACATTCATACGAGTACACACTAACAATATACATTTTTTACTGTAGATGTGTGTGTGTGTATATATATATATATATATATATATATATATATATATATAAATTTTAAGTATAAACTCTAAATGACATGTATATTTATGCCAACATGTCTAATATACATACTTTGTTCAATTGTTGCAGTGTGTTATGTTGAGATGCTGCTATAACATTTTCAGTTGAATTTTGAACTTGTGGATTCTCACATATAGATGCAACATATTCTGCAACGTTCTTCAAACTTTCATGAAAATAGTGTACCATATTAAGACTATGAAAAATACTTTTAAAAAATTGTAAAATAAGTGTACAAAACTTATTACTTTATTAACTTATATCAATTTTGACCTCTTTGGGGGTGTTTTAGATGCTGACCCACGCATAACTTTTTTTTTGTTCCTTTTCTAGGATAACAATATACGACGAAAGCATTAGTTATCCATTCTTTTAAAACTATCAAAAAATCACCTACTTATTTTATGTAGGAGAGGTTCATTGAGATGGAGTAGTAGTTATTGGAGACTGAACATTACTCTTAGAAGGAATCCTGCTAATCAGATAATCAATTTTCTGCTTTAGTTCCTTATTTTGTTCTTGTTTTTAATCTAGGCTTTGATGAAGTAATGTAGTTATTCTTTTGATAAAGATTCAGCTCGAGGAAGATGTCAATGTCTGCTTGGCTTGACTCTCGTGCCAACCCCTCTTACAAATTCACCATGGTCTTTGCCAAAGTCTAGCAAGAGGTCATATGTGGTCGGTTCAAGAATGATTTTTCCTACTTCAATTTGTTAACTATCTATATTTGTTGTATCAAATGATTGTGTTCAGAATTTTTGTGCCAACCCCTCTTACAAATTCACCATGGTCTTTGCCAAAGTCTAGCAAGAGGTCATATGTGGTCGGTTCAAGAATGATTTTTCCTACTTCAATTTGTTAACTATCTATATTTGTTGTATCAAATGATTGTGTTCAGAATTTTTTTGTACATATTCGAATTCCGAAATTGGCATGTCCATCTTTTGTTTCTTATCTTAGTCTGTATGTAACTAGCGCACTGTACTCTTGCCTTTGTATTGATCTTTTTGTATGTAACTATCTATATTTGTTGTGTCAAATGATTGTGTTCAGAATTTTTTTTGTACATATTCGAATTCCGAAATTGGCATGTCCATCTTTTGTTTCTTATCTTAGTATGTATGTAACTAGCGCACTGTACTCTTGCCTTTGTATTGATCTTTTTGTAACCGTCCAACACTCATAGAATCGTTCCAAATTGCGAATTGTTCTTCGTGCTTTGTTATTTACGATTGAGCTTATTACATTCCATATCGCTTATGTTAACTGAATTGTTTTAGCATTTCATATTGAATATAGAAGCTATCTATCTTATCAAGTATTATCAGAGCAGGAGATACTGTAATCATTCATTATTCTTTTGTCGAGCAAACATGGTTTTCGTTTAGGGTTTTTCAATGTTTTCTTAGATTTTTTTTGTGTTATCTCAATCATTTCCAAAATTTTCATTCATATCATTGTATTCAATTATCGGTTGAAATCTCTCAAAATGTGTAAGCATGACCTTCATTCATTCTTATTCAATCTTCCCAGTAGTATCGGATCAACTACTAGGATTCCAATCCTTTTCCCAGAAGATTAGGATTTCTGGGCACTTCACTTTGAGGATTACGTGCTTGGGATTGAAACTCATGGATATAGCATCTGGAATGTTATAACGGTGGAGACATACAAGTATTCCGGAAATATAAAAGAAGTTAAAACTCAAGCTCAATATGATGCAATTGTTGTTGATTACACAGAAATCACAAAGACGAAAAGGACAAGTTAATATGCAATATGAAGGTTATGCGAATCATCATATTTGCTCTTCTTCCATACAATTTTCGCCTTGTAAATTTTTATGCTACTGCCAAAGGGATTTGGGATAGATTGAAGGAGCTATACTTAGGTGATGATGACTTGGAACATTCCCTATGGACTACTCTCCTATCAGAATTTGGGTCATTCATACAAAAGCCAGAAGAGAATCTCGAACAGGCAGTCAATCGTTTCAATCATCTATTAAGTAGGATGTAGATGTATAACCTTCAGAGAAAAGTCATTCAAGAGAAGGTTACTTTCCTGAATGGTCTACAATCTGAATGGAAGTCAATTGTCTCAATTGTGAAAGCTCTTGAACGATTCAAAAATTACTCACTCGTGAAACTTGTTGGGATTCTAAAATCCCATGAAGAATAAGTAACGAAGGAAAGAAAGTTGGTTTCATGTGTTGGATCACTAGCGTTAGTTACAAAAGGTGATAAGCATATGAAGTCGTTGTTGATGATTCTGAGTCCGATATCTCAGATGATGATCTCACAAAAGAAGACAAGGCATTAATGGTGTTTAATCCTAAGAAGTTCTTCAAAATGAATTTCTCTCGATTTAGAAATTAATACAAGACGGGAAACTCTAGCTATGAGAAGCCAAGAGAAGAAAATTACAAGAAATTTAAGAATCATGAAGAGAAGAAGGAGAAGAAATTGTTGGGTGACGCTGGATACGATTGCAATTACAATCATGGTAAGAATCACTTTGAAAAGTAGTGCATGTTGACAAAGCAGAACGACAAGAAGTAGATAGTGAAGGATGAGGTGTACTATGTTCAAAAAATTTATGAAATCCAAAAATAGAAAAAAGAAAATGCAAAACCAGTACTGTTGATGGTTCAGTAAGACAATGATGATGGAAAAGTAGAGGTGTGGTTAACGGATTTTGAAGACGATGAAATGTGAAGGCCAACTCATGGAGAGTGTTTAGTGGTGAATTCAAAAGATAGTGAATATGTTGGAAGGTGGTTGATGTTGAAGAATGTGAATTCAGAAGCGAAGGGTTATGCAATGAATGGAGGAAAAGCAATACCCGACCGCCATACCACAATGTCAATCAATGAGCATGTCAGTTAGTGTGAACGATTTGTGGATAAGGTACGTTCCATTCTAAAATCTCTTAATATTCCTACATCTCGTTATGATTCCGAACTGAATGATTTACGTTATACAATTTCTAATAATAGCAATAGCTTAAAAAGAACCCGTATAAGTAATTCTAACATGAATGATAATCTCAGCAGGGTAACCTTTAAAAATGAGGAGATGACAATAAAAATAGAGGCATTGGAAGTAGAGCTGAATAGATTGAGAGATAATGTGATTTTACTTAAGAGAGATAGTCGAGTGATTTTGAAACAAAGAAACATATTTTGTCTGATTGCTAAACGTCTGTATTTTAACATTTCTCAGCTGCATTTGAATTGTGAAGTTGGTAATAGTTTGCATAAAATGATTTTACCATTCCTTAAGTTAAAAGAAGATGAAATTGATGCAGAATGTTATAAGTGTGAATCTATTGTTTCTTCAAGAGATGGTATTTTTTTCTTATAAAGCTGGACTTGAGAAAATTGAAGAATTCATTAAGTCCAAAGAAAACAAAACCATGTTGAAAAATGTCTTGACAGAAGAAGATAAAAAACGAAATCTCAATGAACACTTCGCAGAAGTATAACTCATTGTGCAAGAAATTGAGTTCATATAATAATCTCATTTCTGAGAATGTTTCTGAATTTGATGAAAGTGAAATGAGTGAAATTTATGTCGAAGATGAAATTGATTGTTCTGCTTTTGTGAAAGAAATTAGTGAACCAGAGAAAATTTAATTTTCGAACATTCGGTTGAATTTGTTCAAGTTGTTGAAAATCTAGGTTCAAAAGTTTTGAAAATGAAAGCAACTGTTTTCCTAAAATTTCAAAAAACCCCGAATCAAGTGTTTTTGTAAAATTAAGACTGGACAAAAATGACACTTCTGAATTAACGTTCATTGTTGCTTATGATAATGCAAATGGTTGTGAATAACACTTTTGATCAAACCCAATTGATAATGCAGATGAAGTGAAAGGTCTTTCGGAAATGACCACTTGGAAATCTAATGGAAAATACGTTTCAGAACTTGTTAATCGTGACCAAGTGGTATAAAAGATGCATCAAGTGATTCTTTGTTTAAAAATTGTAATTTGCCTCAAAGAAAATAAAATTTGAAAGCACCTATTCAGAAATCAATTGAGGAAATCATTGAAAGAAAAAAGGCAAATGAATGCACGATATAAAAAGAATTTAGCCAAAATAAAACAATTTTGGAAGAAACGAATGAATTCTACTTAATTTTCTGTTTTGTTCACCAAAATCTACAAATTAGAATAATGATTTATCTCAAAATGAGAAACCAAAATCAAGTGGTTCTCCAGAAACTCAATTTTTAAAACATTTGTTCAAACAAAAGATGTTTATGTAAAAAAGAAAGTTGTTTCCAAACTGGAAGTTACTCTTGAAGAGTATGAATCAAATTTGTGAAAGGAAGAAAATATCAAGACGGAAACCGATCGAAAGGATAATGAAGCTTCTAATTCAGGTAAAGACAAAGGAAAAGGATTTTCTGAAGATAACAATGATGAAAATCCGATGATGTCTGAATCGGAAAGGATGGATTGGGAGCAAAGAGACAAAGAGCTTGACAAAGTCATTACTCCTTGGAAGGACTTCGAGGCAAAAGAAGCTGAAGCAAAGAATGTGAAACTAGTTCTTGAAACTCAGATGTCTTTGTTTCCCGCTTGGTCTCATGAGCGTATACAGAAAGAAGTCATGGATGATCCGAATCTCTACTCGATAGAACCAACAATCTCGTTTGACTTAAATAAGGATGTGGAATGTCAATTTAATTTTCCCATCACTCCAAGGGCATTTCTCTTTCGACACTTCGAAAAGATTAGGAAATCCATGATCTCCGATAGTGCAGAAAACCGAAAAGCTTTTTTCGTTTTACTTGAAATTTGCAAAACTGCAGTATGAGACATGGATCTTAGAGAGAATCATGGCGTTGATGGTTGGATTGTCGATTCAGACTGAAAAATTCTTGAATATCCAATTTAAAGGATTTCGAGGTGCCAATCATGTGCTTCATGAGTTCACATTAGCTGACTTGCCGTTCATGAACCCCTACGACTGTTTATATCTATTCTACATTGTGGTGAAGGATGTTTACAAATATGAGCATATTATTGAACACTTGAAGCAGATGATATGGTGTTATATACTTAAAACTGCAAAGATGGATGTTGAAATCGCAAATATTCTGAAGAAGAGGCCAATTCTAAAGCCAGGAGAACAAACAAAAGAAATCCAACACTCGAAGGTAGGGATTATTTGAAAGAATCATTGGTGCATTGTTTACAAGAGAAAGGAATGTAAAGTGGTTCAGAACTGCATGTTCTTTTTAAGGGACAAGCACCTATACTCATCATCGGCTCTTAAAACAATCTTATCCACTGGTGAAGCTCTCAAATCCAATTCTGTTGCTAATATAAAATGTGTTTTGGATAGGATACGTTGGTATCTATTAGTTCGAAGTTCAATTCTGAAGGTTATGCCAAAGATCTTTAATGCGCAAAGACAATAAAGAAGTCCGCTTTCTGATTTGACACAAAGGGGAGATTGTTAAGTATTTCTATTTTTTGTGTCAAATAGTTGTGTTCGGAAATTTTGTGTACATATTCTGATTCCGTAATGGGCTTGTCCATCTTCTGCTTCTTAGCTTAATATGTCTATAAATAGCGCACTGTACTCTTTCCTTTGTATCGATCTTTTTGTAATCGTCTAGCACTCATAGAATAGTTACAAAGTGTGAACTGTTCTTTGCTTGTTTTTTATTGAGGATTAAGCTTATTACATTCCATATCGCTTTTGTTAACTGAATCTGTGACATCCCCATTTTCACGTCTAGAAAAGATAGATTTATTTATGCTTTATTTGAAAATCAGAGTATACTTCTGAAGAAATATGTTGCGGAATTTGTTCCCAAAAAATTTGATAAGTAAATTATCAAAGCATTACTGGAGGAATGGGTTTTCATTATATTAAAAACACTAGGATGTGATTGTCAATACAATATACAATCATAAATAAAAAAAAAAAATAGGGGCCTTACAACATTTATTATTCTAATGGCCTATAATCAGTAGATCTTTCATCGGATCAGCACTCCTGTGCTCTTTTGCTAGCACCTGTAAAGGAAGAAACTGAGTGGTTCATTCTTGGGAGTCAGGTGAGCACATAATATTTTCAACCCATAATAACTAAGTTTATTATTTCCATCAATCAATCAACCTGGTTCCCCGTTCCTGATATCCTCACCTTCTGTCCCTAAGGCGTCCAAATTCAGAGACCTAACCTAAGGACTTTTCATCAGGGTGACAACATTGCATAGTGAATTCCTCAACAAATAACGTTAAAAAGGCAACCATGAGGGGGGTGGAGTACACATGGTGAACACTTAGTTCAAAAACAACTACAGGTTGCGAGCCTGCCAGTGTTCCACTAGACTGTTTAGAATAGTCTGTGGTCATCATCTTTACTCTACTAAATGATTGGATCATATTAAACATCAAGGCCTCTCATCGTTTATTTCATCATCTATATCATCTACCCATCTTTACCCATCATAATTATATGTACGAAATACATATACAGTTAAAATCAAATAAAACATGTATATTTTGTTCATCCAGCATAGATATGAACACATAGCACATAATTTATGTAAAATACTTAATATCTATGTATAAGATGAAATTAACTATGCACTCACTTGTTAAAGTGATGATTTCAAACTCGGACAATGCTTCAATTCTAACAATCTTATTTTCCTTCAATGAAACTTAGTATCATTATCACTAGATCGTAGTCTATTATTCATTGGGACTAATTATTAGTCTAAGTAATATTGTTTTTTATATAAGTGTTAAACAATACTTTTCAACACTTTGTACAAACAGGGGCCGGACATGAAGCACTGGAGGGCAGGACCATTTTGGCATTTAAGTTGTTCTGAAATCCAACAATCCTATGCGGCCCTTCAAACCAAATTCCCCTTACCGCGAACAGTTAAAAGGTATTATAATAACACTTTATATTTTATAATACTTAGCACATATATATTTTATAGGTTCATAATAACGACAATGAACTTAAACATAAACTATACATAAAGTAAGGTAAGCAAAAGTAACTTATAAGAGAGTCTTGCTAGAAACCGAGCTCTACGGTGGCAGAACTTCTGAGTCGAAAGCTATTCTTCTCGGAGCCTTCTCGCGCTTCAGGACTCACCTCTAGCACTAGGGAAGGGGAGGGAGAGTTTAGGAGTATTAAAAGAGAAATAATGGGAGAGATGTGAAGAAAATGGAAGATTTGTGCCTCTATTTATAGGCTGGGAAATGGCTCAACGTGGCGTGTTTATGAGCCCTACACGACGTGGTTGTGTGCCAACTATCACCATCTGGTGGCAAGACGTGGGGAAGAACCAGTGGTTCAGATCGCACCATGTGTTAGTCATTGATCACTCCAAAAACTATTTCTCTTCCAAAATCTGTAATTTTCGCATACGAGCTCCATATTTGATGTTCTTTATATCCACGCATAGGTAAGACGGGATCTACAACTTTTGTTTAGACACCGTCAAGTAAATTTTAATTTATTTTTAAAGTTATATTTTAACAAACTTAGACAGATAAAGTCCGTTAAAAATTCATAACTTTGTCATCCGATGTTTGTTTTCGTCTGTCTTTATATTGTTGGGTTCCTATTAATGAGATCTTCAATTCTCATTTAGGTTTTGTCAGCTAGAAATTGGTCAATCTAATATTCGAATTATAGGGTGCCAACTTCTATGCCAAATCTTAGAAAAATCATAACTTCCACATACGAAGTAAGATTTGGACGTTCTTTTTATGCACGTTCTCGGTTTAACGTATACTACGACTTTTTTGCATTGCTAACGCTAAAAAGTAGTTTATCAAAAATTCACTTTTTACGATTTGCAGCGTCGTGCTAGTTTTATTGTGTGATTCGACGAATCATAACTTCTTCATTATAAGTCGGATTTCAGCGTTCGTTATATCCCTGAAATCCTTGTTGCGAGCACCTCAACTTTCTTCATAGATATTGGGTCTATCTATTATTTTATTTTTGACACATATTTTTCTATTATTATTTTATTACATCGTTACAAGCATGTATATTGCACATAAATCACATAATACTAAAATAATTCTTCTTCACTAATTCAAAATAGATTAAAATTGTTGACCCTAACCATTACATCATAATGCTACTGCTTAGCCTAGAAACACGGGTGTTACAAAATTCTTTTAGAATTCCATATTGAATATGGAATCTATCGGTCTTATCAGGTAAAGACAAAGACAAAAGCATTTCTGAAGATGACAACAATGAAAATTTAATGATGTCTGAATCAGAATGGATGGCTAGGGAGCAAGAGACAAAGAGCTTGACGAACTCATTGCTCTTCAAAAGAAATTTGAGGCAGAAGAAGTTGAAGCATAGAATGTGAAAATAGTTCTTGAAACACAAAAATCTTTGTTTCCAATTGGTCTCATGATCGTATACAGAAAGAATCCATAGATGATCCGAATCTTGTAACATCTTGGAATATCAAGGGTAGAGTTGAAGGGCTAAAAGTGTAAATTTGAAGGGTAACTCGGCGAGTCCATGGGTGGACTCGGCGAGTAGAGTCGCGAATCAGGTTGCGTATTAAGTGGCCAACTCGGCGAGTCCAAAGCTGGACTCGGCGGAGTAGAGAAAACCCTAAATCCGGAGGATGAGCCCTATTTGAAGGACATTATACCATCTCCCCAGCCTCCTTGATCTCTCTTGAAGTCCAGAAACCCTAGATACGTGATTATGGAGGATTTGAGTGCATTTGGAGCTTGGGGAGGTGCTTGTTGAAGGAATCTTGAAGGAGAAGGGACTTGGATCAAAGGGATTTGCAAGGATTCGGATTAATCTTCTCTTGGAGCTTCCTTTTGAGGTATTATTTCATTGTTTGAGCTGCTATTATCTAGATTCATCATTTTTGGAGGTGTTAGAGATCACATCTTTTGATGTATTGGAGTCTAGAGGTTAGATCTGAGGTTGCTACCTCAGATCTGGAATGGAGAAGGGGTTTGAATGCATAAAGGTCCTTGTTGTTGAGAGATTGATGGAGTTATCTTGTCCCAAACCCAAACCCTAGAGTGAAAATGCCTAGATCTTGGATTCACGTAAAGATTGCCACTTTACGTGATGGATGGCCTTAGGAGGGGTAGATCTATGGTTTGGATCATCTGCATGGCTTGGAAAGCCTCTGTATGGATTCAGACCCGGTGGTACTCGGCGAGTCACATGGGTGGACTCGGCGAGTTGGTTGAAGATGTCCTGGAACTCGGCGAGTTAGAAGAACAACTCGGCGAGTAGGTTGAAGATAGTCGTAGACTCAGCGAGTCTGGTCGTAGGGTCCAAGTTTCTTTTGGGAAGGCTGCGACTCGGTGAGTCAAGTGATGACTCGGCGAGTTAAGTCGCGAATTGAAGGAGGTTCTGTGTATGGGGACTCGGCGAGTCATCGGGTTGACTCGGCGAGTAGAGTCAGTCAGGGGTAGACTTTGACTTTGACTTTCACCAAGGGTTGACCAGTTGACTTCCAGGGGCATTTTGGTAATTGTTGGCTTTTGTGTTGGTGTTAGTCAGTGGTGGAGTTCGGGTCAGAGATTTCAGCAGCGTGATCTTATCCTTTCAGTCAGCAGTTGCGAGGTGAGTTATCCTCACTATATCAACAGGGTCTAAGGCACCAAGGCCGACCCTTTATCGGATTAAGATCTGGGTATCTGTTGTTATGTTATTGCTTTGATATGTTTGCATCGTGGTAGTTAGGATGGTATTCGTTAAAGACTTGGTTAAGGTCGGTATCCTGGTATATAGGATGGTGCTATTCTAGTGAACGGTTAGGTCGGTATCCTGGTTAGGGTAATGATATGTTATGTGATCTGTTCGATCGGTTTGTGGACTATGAGTTTTTATATGATTGTATGTTATGTGCACATGGTTGTTTGGACTGGAGTTGGGTTGAGGTGGGTCCTGCTTTGTGATGTAGGCCAAGATACCCAGGGCGGACCGGTTGTTCCGAAGGCCCAACAAGCGGTCCGGATAAGCTGTAGGCCCCACGAGGACGGACCAGACGTGCCGATGCTCGGAAAGTGGACCAGGCTGACTGAAGGCCCAATGCGGGTGGACCAGTCATACTATAGACTCAGAGAGTGGACCAGGTGAGTTGAAGGCTCGGTGCGGGTGGACCAACCATATTGCAGACTCGAGGGACAT